GGAAGTATGGTTATAATGTCACTAAGCAAAAGCACGATGTTCCCACTATAGCTCATTCATGCCCTACCCCCATTCAACCTCAGCAGCTTCGCAGTTCTGCAATTTAGCTTTTCTAAAACTTCCCCCAGGAGCAGAAGTGTGCATTTGGCTGCTGTGTAATCTCCATCATTATATTCATCATTTTAGCTGCCATTGCCCCAATCCTTTAGAAACGAGCACAACTGCATTTAAGCAAGTTTCCACCACCAAATCTTGTGGTGCTGAATATCATAAACTAGGCTGCAGTCCAAATGTTACGGGACAGTCAGCCCTACTGAATTAAGGAGGAGTTAATTCTGAGTCAATAGAATAGCCTTGTTAAGCATTGCGTGAAGAAATACATTGTTCGTTCTGAACCTATTCCCAGTCAGTGCCTTGAATTTAAATAGATAGGAAAACAAAAAGAATGTTGATTTTATGTACCTTAATTTCATATAAATTCATTGTTTCCCCCAGTGGCCCTTTCCATTATGCATATGTACTGAGTTCACTATAATTTCCTCCATGTGGCTCTGAATTTTTCATATGCTGTTATACCATGTTAGATCATCAGTGATATATACCTAGCTCTCCTTATTCTTCTTGCAGTGTTGGAAGCCATGTTCTACTCATGACTCTGCCCCACTGACGCCGTTCTATTGGCATAGCTGGTTTTCTGCTATTGAGCAGGATTTCCATCATAACCTGTCCCCTCTGAAGTGTTGGATCTTAAGCACCGCACTGTTAGCAGAGTTTTCTGAATGATAAGAAAACATCTTTTTTCTTTGATCTTCAAAACTTGCCAATGTTTAAACATGTTTTTGTGCAATTCCCATGAAGAGAAGACAATAACCCATTGGTGAAACATATCTTTAAAAGAATGGCACTGATAAAAGGAAGAGGATTGACTAGCAAATTTCTGGGTCAGCAAAGGTAATAACCATGCCTTCCATAATAAAAGCAAGAGCTTAAGAACAGTGGTGGGAGTTACAGGTCAAGACATCTGGAGGTCCCCAAGCTGCTCACCCTGGCCTAGAAATACTGGCTTGGATATAAAGGTCCACTGGGGAGAGCCTCTTCTACTCTTCTACTCACAGAAGAGCTATTTCTGACAGAGTGGATGAGCACTGAGTGAAAAGCATGTCCTAAAAAATGAGAGACATTATTATAATAAAATATTGCTTAATATAATTAGGGCACAATCCTTTGGGCTTCACCCTTCTGCAAGACACTGTAAGGATCATGCTCTTTTGCAGTGCCATGTGCATGCGATATACGTATATACAGATAGATATATACAGATAGTCCATGCTGTCTTAAGGCGGTTCAGGATGAGACCTTTGGGTTTCTTTTCTCATCTCCCTTGCAATTTGTGTTTTACCTGTTTTGATACATTGTACAACTCTGTGGGTTGTAAAGATGACATAATGAAGGGCAGGAAGAGGTGACCAACCAACAGCACAAATAATGAGATTGTTAACCTCCTCATCCATTCTTTTCTGTATAATTCAAACAGATGCTTAAGGTATGATTGAGTGCAGCTACAGCTCCATTAGCAAACTTAGTCCTTATCTGCTTACATGCAAAGCAGTACATGACTTTGTCCTGCTGTTCTTTTATTAGGAGTACCACGGATTGAGATGCAAAATATATAGGAAGACTTGCTGTCCTGCTATATAACGGGATATCCTAAAGCAAGCACAGGACACTTTCTGCAAAATCCAACTCCCTCAAGATCCTGATCCAGCCTTTCTGGTTTCCCTAGAAGGCCCAATCTCCTTTCCCTTTTCTGTCCCATTTTCCCAACCACCAGTGATTTAGCGGTTTCTCTGCTTTCATGCAGCTTTTCCCAGATTCTGAACGGTAGAAATGCCTTTGGCTCATGGCCCTGTGTCCTTTGCCCAGTCCTACCTCCCTTGCCTTTTGTCCCATCCACTGCTGGAACATGTTCTCTGAGCGCTTCTGCAGAAGTGAATTTGGCCTTTATGCTGAACAAGGCCCTAAAGCATTCGAGGGTACAAGCGATATGCCCTCTAGTATGGATGCTCCGAACTACAGTAATGTCAATGCAGGGTTGGCTGGCAAAGCAGTAATTGGTTGTCATTGGCTGGACTACTGTATGGTATGTTTTATGTGTGGGACAGAAACATGGCCTAGCAAAAAAATGCCAGCAGTAAAAGAAAGAGATTTGAGGCTCAGACAAGAGCAGTCCAATAAATGAAAAGCAATGAGAGAAAGTAGGTTGGAAGAGAGAACGTAGGTTGGAAGAGAGAACAGAATGAGGAAAAGACAAGAAGAGAAGGTAAGTAAAGGGGGAAAGACAATGAAGGGATCGGCCTGGAAGGTCAAAAACTGCAGAGGTGAATGTGGCTTTATTCCATGTATAGATTTGCAAAGGTTTGGCTGTTCTATGATGCAATTATATTTCAAAGGGATTGTAAATAAAGAGTAAGAAATATTGCGAAGGGATTTAAGAACTATTTTGGCCTAGTTGTCTCCTTCCACATTTACAGAGGATGGCCCTAGTCTCAAGAACTCAGTGACACAAAATCATTAGTCCAATAATGAATTCTGACAAGACTGTATTAACTATGATTGGCCAGCCATTCGCTTTGGAAAAGGTAACGCTCCTGGGGTTCATTCTGCATAGTCAATCAGATTCATAGACATTGGGTGGCCACAGCAGAGTGGAATCCTATGCATGGCTGGGGAATGCTGGGAGTTTTTTCTGTCTAAAAATACAGAAGATTGCATGCTTACAATTTTTACCTGATGGGGAAACTATATTTTCAGAAGCCTGTCTGGTTTGCAACTCTTTTCATTCATATGTGCATTAATTAGATAGTTAAAGATGAGTTCTATTGCTGCTTTAGAATAAGAAATAACAGATCTACAATGCAGATTCTAATTGCTCTTTTTGAACTTGTACATTAGCTAAAGGTGCATGTTAGTTTTGCCACAGAATGCCTGAACCATACATTAATGGGTATAACAGAAATGTTACAAAGCACTTCAGCTGTAGCATGGCAGAGAATACCATAAATTTCATGTTGCATGAAAAAGTAATCTTAGGGCTGCTATCCTGAATCTACGCAGTGGCATCATTCTCTTAGCCTGAACCATAGGAGGCAGCAGCTAAGTGTCCACTTCTTTTGAATCTTTTATGACACAGACCAGGTTGTAACCCTCTGGTATATTACCCTTCAATACTTTAGAAGTACTATCACACCCCTTTTTAGGTTTTTTTTTCATGGTTGCACATATCCATTTCCTTCCATCTTTCTTCACAGAACTTGGCTTCCAGTCTGCTGATAATCTTGTCCTTCTCTGAACTTCTTCCAATTTATTTGAATTCTTATTAAAGTGTGATGTCCAGAACCAGACACAGTATTTGAGGTACGGACTGACTGGTACAAAGTAGAGTTGAAGTTCCATGATTTTGGAACTGTACACTTCTATGGATGCAACTAGAACACTTACCTTTTTTTTGCAATCAAATCATTCTGCTGACTTATATTCAGTTGTGGTCTACAATAATTCCAAGATCCCTTTCACATGCACAAGTGCCAATCCAGGTGTCTCCTAAATCATACATGTGCATTTTATTTTCTTTCCCTCAATAAATAAGTTTATTTATAAATTACAAATTAAATTATAAATTCCCTCAATAAATTACATCCTGTTAAATGTAATTCTATTATTTTCTGCCAGTCTGCTAAGCTCTCAAGGTCACTTTAATATTTGCCTTTTATCAGTTATTCTACCCAATTGTGTGTCATCTGCAAATTTTATAAATATTTGCCCCTACATGTTCAGTTTCCTATTCCTTCCTGCCATGGAATCCTACCTATCAGGGTTCCGAGTTTATTAAAAACAGCTTTCCTGAAGTCCAGGGAAATGTACAAAGATTTTGATGATGCTTCAAAGATGTTGAACATAGTATCATTTTGCACTTCTTGCAGGTGCATTCCAACCCAGTCAATAAGCTCCAAACACTGCCTTGATAATCCAGATTCTTTTGGTGCAGCAGTTATGTTACAGGTTCAAGTCCCTTTTAGCAAAATTTCAATAATAAAGGGGAAGACGACTTCTGATCTGAGCAGACCAATAGCTCCCATTTTTGGATGACAGTATTTTTATAAGGGGAAGATGCACTGAGTGTGTAAATACTAAATCATTTGTCTTAATCATGTAACTGCAACTGAATCCAAGGGTACTGGCTAAACAAGCAGTTATTTTACAGACTTGTTTTTATAACTCTGAGTAACTCGGACCTTCTTAAAAAAATATAGTGTAACTGTTCCAGTAAGTCGACATACTCCTTCACCTTTGTGCACTATTTCACTCCTTGGGCCGATTCCACTGGGGCACTGCTCCAAAATAAAGGCTGTACCTTTAAGAGGAGAAACGGTGGCTTTCGTGTATTTTTTGTGCAATCGTTGCAATAAATGTTATTTTTAAAATGTGGTGGGTTAGCGAAAATTTGGGGGGTCGAGGCCTGTTCCCCACAGGCTTTGGGCCTGTTCCCCGCTGACCTCTGCATTGACCATTGAATGGCTGTCTTCCCCTTTGTCCCCAAGTGCCGGATTTAATCCCGCGTTCACCTCGGCCGCCTTCTCGCAGCGACCTCTGAACACCTGCGGCAACCATCATGCTTCTCGCGCAGGAACGCGCGGCCCCCCGCGGCGCGCGCGAGCAGGCGCTCCTGGCCGGAGGGCTTCTGACTGCCGCCCCGAGGAGGGGCGGCGCTTCTCCGGCCCACGGGGAGGGGGCTCCCGCTCTCTGCACGACGGACGGGGCGGGGGCGCGGGCGGTGCAGCCGGGGCAGGATGCGCGCACGGACGCTGGAGGGGGCTCTTCACCGCCGCAGCTCCCCTCTCCACTCCCCTTTAGGCGGGGGCCGGGTGGGTAGTGGGAGGAGAAGGAGGCGGCGAAGGCGCGACGGCGGCGAGAGCTCCGGCGGCAGCGCCCGTCTTCTCCTCCTCCTCCTCCTCCTCCTCGGGTCGCCGGGACGTGGCGGGCTCTGGCCGCTGCGCTCCGGCAGAGGCTCCCCTCGCGCGCCAGCTCTGCCCATGGCGCCCTCGCCCCTGCCGCTCTCCCGCAGCTCCCCGCGCCTCCCGCCCCCTTCCCCGGCCGCCGCCGCCTGCGCCTCCCGCCGGAACCTTTAATGGCTCGGACCCTCCGGCGGCCCCACAGCCCGACTTGCTTCGCGCCACCAGCGGTGGCCGCCACCGACCCCGCGACGAGCGAGAGCCCGAGAGGAGCGCCGCCGCGCACGGTGAGAGCGCGCGGACGCGGGAACAATGGGAAGACGAGGACGGCACGGGGCGGGGGCGTCAGCTCGCCCGCCCGAGGAGGCGGTTCCCGGGTCCAGTGCGCTCGGCGGGGTCGGTCTGGGGAGGGGACAGGCAGAAGGAAGCCTTTCTGTGAGTTCGCGGCGGCCGGAGGAGACGCGCCGTCCGGGAAAATCCGCTTTTGCCAGCCGAGGTGCGGGCGCGTGGGCTTGCGGCGTGGCGCCGGGTCTGTCCCCTTTCCGCAACGTGACACCCACCCCCGGCCGGGTTTCCATGCGGCGACTTCCAGAAGTTGGTGCCTTTTGTCTCCGGCGATTGGGAAGTTGCTCGGGCGAAGGACGCTGCGCTCCCTTCTCGCCTTACTTTGCTCTCCCCGCCCCCGTCACGCTTTGCGGTATCCCTCGCCGGGGAGGGGGGAGTGGAAGGGAGGAATCCGCCGCCGCCGCCCCCATCCCTCCCCAGGCTTTGAATGTGAACTTGCTCTCGTCTCGGGGCGAGGAGGGGGCCTTCTGCAAATAGACCAGCATCACACGGCCAGATGTATGCTTATTTACTGCCTTGGCTGCCATGCAGTGAAGCCAGGAAGAGGCTTGCCGGGCACAAAGGAAGGCGAGGAGGGAGCGCCTGGGATGGAGGGGCGGCGGCGGGAGGGACGCACAGACCTGGGACTCAACAGGCTTGTTTTTCGTTTGGCACCGGGACCATTCAGCTTAGAGGAAACGTCGCGCCCACCGTCGGGTGGGCGTGGATCGTCTATTAGGCTGACTTAGAAACGTGTGTGCGCACTCACCCGCGATGGGGGTGGGGAAGCAACTAAGGTGTGGGATCCTATCAGCGGTGGCTTTACTGTGAGGCAAGGTGAGACTTTGCCCCAAGGTGCCAGATCTGGAGTGCGTATAAGGGCAGGAGGTCTGGAGAAGCAGATCTGATCCACTGTGCGCGATCCACTCGTGCAGTAGCGCCATTGAAACGAACGGGAGGTGTGCAAGAGGAGGTTTCACCGTAAATGAGGCTTGCACTAGGGAGTATCTTTGTGCCTCTGCCAGTTACAGGGAGGAGGTTCCGTTCTGCCTCCAGAGCCAAAACCTTTTAAGTTGACCCTGGCCAGATTGAGGGAAATCCCCCCCCCCTTTTTTTTTCTGGAAGCTGTGGGATCAACCTGCCCTGTAAAAGGAGCATTTAGTTGTACAGTTAATGATGGTGGATTCAAAAATCCAGAGTTAAGAGTGGGCCTGATGCCCTTCAACCATATCGAGGCTTATATGTCTGCCTTACCTCAAGTACAACCAAAGGGAATCATTTCCGAATATTCGGCAGGGGTATGAAAGAGAAAGCCATCATGTATTCCCAGGGACAGGCATTCTGGTTTCTTTCAGATGTTTTGGGCTGTGGCTCCAGAAACCCAAGCCAGCATGTCAAACGGTTGAAGATTATAGGAGTTGTAGTCTGAAATATCTGGAAGACAGGTATTTCTGACCATCCTTTACTCCATATTTGTATGGTTATGCTGCCTCATAAGCAGCAGATCTGAATCTAACTTATAGGTAGATTCTAAATCATAGCTGGACTAAAGAGCAATGGTGCAATGTGACATATCATTTTCTCTCATCTCATAAGTCAGTTTTTCCACCTGGGTGACCTCCAGCTTTGCTGGAACTAGAACTCCCAGTAGCCCCCATTCATCAGGTTGGGGAAGGTTGCTGTAAGTGATATACTGTCCAGCATAAATAGGTGCATTTACAACAGATCAGTTGCACTGTGACATAAAGTCCAGATCTTTAGTCAGGAGTTAGTTTAGGGATTTTGGTTGTGTGTTAGTAGGTCACTTTGTTCAGCTGTTTTCATGTGAATCAGACGTAATGCATGATATAGTACCTTTTTGCAGCTTCACAGTTGGGTTTACATAAGTTACTTTCCTATCACTTGATTGCTCAGTATTTGGTGACTCAAAGCAGAATGTAAGAATGGATTCAGTGTAGAAAAGCACTGTGATGTGCGTGGTAGGAAATAATAGAAAAGTTTTCTTACCATCCATGATGACTTAAACTGTGTACTCTTTCTCTTTTGTTCACAATGGGACTTGATATTGAGTAAACATACATTGCCTCGTCACACATGCTAGTTGTCAGTGCAGATGCACTGGTCAGTTGGCAGCTTCCTGTACTTGACAGCCTTCAAAAATTCCATGAAGTCAAAGAAAGCTACCTTGTAAACAGTGGTGTGTATTAGTAACAATGAATGGGTGCCAACTCCAGTATTAAAGAAGATTGGCAGTTTCAGATTAGCATGAGTGGTTGTCAACGAATCATGCATATTTTGTTGAGATGACAAAATTCATTAGTGTTTCAATGGTTTTCAGGACTATTCTTTTCCCTTCCCCACCTTATCTTTAAACAATGTAAGGGAAAGACATGGTTGAGCACAGTTTTGTTATCCCTTGCTGCTCAGAAGATGCCAAATTCTTATGCCCTGTCCATGCCCAGCTGAAACAGGCAGGGCTGGAGGAGCAGTGGAGGCACTCTGCGTACCCATCCTCTGACAGTTGCAGAGGGAAAGGCTGGAGGAGGGTCAGGATGAATTTTATCTTGGCCTACCTGATCTTCTGCCCAGCAGAATGTCCTTCTTTTCTGCTACAAGGTAAGTTTTCCAACTTTGGAGACACTGTGGGTAGTTCTCTCCAAGCTGACTGCAAGGGGTTGGTGGTCAGATTGACCACTCTCCCTTCCAAAGAGATGTGAAAAGGAGCTTTCTGAGCCATCCAGTGGTCCCTGGGATGTTATTTGGGCACTATAAAATTGCTTTCTTATTGTATCTAAATATTTACAAGCATTTCAATAATAGTTTCTACATTTAAATCACATTAAAGTTGCTTTCATATGTTGTTTGAAATGTTTCATGTCAATATTTGCATATTCAGTTAACATTACCAGAGAGTTCCAAATTTGTTATATTGATTGAATTGTAGGTTTTATATGGTAAGACACTGGAAAAACTGCAGTCTTAAAAGGCAGCTATGAAATACCTTAAATAAATAAAATTAGCAAATATGCATTGTGAATTTAAATAGAAGCAGACTTTAAATAGAAGCTGCTTCATGCTTCTTAATAAGAGGAATGTGGAGATGACTGGGAATGTTTTGCAGGCACATTTCAGGAGACTGCCTAAATGATCTCCCAGGTGATATCTGCTGCTTACATATATTGTCAATGGGCCCAATGCTTTAATTTCTGCCACAGAAAGGACTTCTACACATGTTCAGAGGCACTCAGCCTGTGGCACCCTATCAAGTCAGAAGTGCTTATGAATCAAAGTACTACTGAGTGTTGCATTTAATGTAGGGGGAGAGGGAATTTGGTGTAATTGAGATTGTGATTTATAAAACTTGTAGGAGGAGTTGAAATCTTCTGTACAACAGTAGCTCTTACTTACGTTGTAGTTCATACTTTTGGTGCATGCTTTTGTCAACTTTGTAGCCAAAAGCTGACCAGAAAATCCCAATCCATTATCTTTGTAAATAGTATTATTCTCTGTTTTGTTATTCAGATAAATTCTTTAAATTCTTGCCTGTTACTTCACAGCATTGATCATCAGGTGCTCAAGGGTATTTTCTTTTCAATTAACAGAATATTGAATGCCAATCTTACTCATGAAATGATGTGTGAACTGGTCTATCTGATGGCAAAAATTCCCCATGTTTAGCATAGTTGTGGGTCTCCTTTTCTTCTAGGGAAATGGTAGGACTAAACCTACAAGCAGTTTTTAAAAGTGTTGGTTATAGTTGAAGACTTGTCCCCCTTAACTTCTTCTGGTAGCAACTCTTAATCTTTGGCCATATGAGTGGTATCCTGTAACAAAAACAAAAAACCAAACCCGTCGCAATCCTCAACACCGTGGACTAGGCAAAGGAACTGTTTTCTCCCTTTCCCCATGCACACCCCTTTTGGTTCGCTTTCAAGCTGTCTGACTGCTGCTTCTACATGGACTTAGCTGGATCAGAACTGTAGAAGGGAGGGAGGAAGGAACGGGAGATGCTAAAGAAGCAGTCCTGCACTTGCGTTCTTCACTGAAGGGCTTTCTGTGGCTCACTCCCTCCCCACCAGGAGCAGTAAATGGCTGCCAGAGATTGGGCCTTTTTGGTCATGGAACCAGTTGTGGAATGCTCTCCCCAGAGAGGTTTTTCCTGGTGCCTGCTTTATTGACCTTTCAGGCTAATACTTTTTAAAACTCTCCTACAGCTTTGTAGATGTGATTTTTATCCTGCTGTCTCTGCTATCATACTTTTATTATTTTGTGGGTTTCAGCTTACTGTCTTTTTTGTACTGTTGTTGCTTCTTTTTTCTTTCTTTTTGTTTTGGTAATCCTGGGACAGTAGTATCCAAATGGTAAATAAAAAATTCTAGATCAGGCTGAAGACAGAGGAGATGTGTGCTTTGTTACTAAGCAACCATGTGTGTAGTTCCTTTGGGCTTCTCCTTTCTAGATAATCTGCTGCCGGCATGAAGCCAAGGAGGATATTCGGTTCCTTCTTTATATTTGCCCTGGACTCTGCTTGTGTTATGCTTTTCCTGTGTTCAGCTGGGGTTGGGGGACTGGATGTGAACTAGCTGAAGCTGAAGCCAGAGATAATGTCAAGTGGACCAGTTCTGTGCCTTGGTGAGTTAAGGATTGCCCACACTGATGCAGTTCAGCCTGCCTGAAGTTGCTTCTGTATATTGAGACACAGCAGCATTGCCCAGAAGTACTTCTCAGCAAAACTCCCTCACAAGTTCAGAGTTGCTGTCTGCCATTGTCACTACAAGGGCAGACTGTGGGAATGCATATTCTTTGGTGTTTCCCTTCCTGCGGTTTCCTGGACTCATTTCTCAGCACAGAAGCCCAAAGAGTTTATGAGGAACTCCAAAATTTGATGTTTTGATATACACTGAAAAATAGAAGATGTGAAAGGCATAAATGTGTGTTTTGAACATGTGTGTAATCGAGATAT